CCGTCCTTGCAATTGAAGTGGGCGGCCGCTGGAGTGCTGAGGCCGCCACCTTCGTCAGACAACTTGCACGGTGCAAGGCACGCTCCGCTCCGCCACCCTCGAGAGCTGCTGCCATCTCCGCGTTCACCCGCCGGTGGTCGGCGCTTTTGTCCTTCGCCGCCGCGCGCTCCTTCGCAGCAAGCCTCCTGTCGATCCCACTCACCGGCACCGCGAATGTCGATGGACAGCTACCCCCATTGAGCGACATGCTCGCCGACTCAGCCTCACTGCCTCCTCTTGCTAGCCGTCTCGTGTGAGCGGTGTGCGCTGCGCCTGGCAGCCTGCCTGTAGTCTGTGGCCCACCTGCCTTTGGGCCTGCACTGGGACCGCGCTGCTCGTTGGACGGTGAAAAAGGTGTGTGGAAAAAAAAAGGCATAGGCCTCGAGCCCCCCCCCTTCGCCCGACGCCCCCCACACCTCACGCCACGCAGGCCAAAAAACGAAAGGCAAAAACAAAAATAAAGCAAATAATAGCAAGCCCTGCGCGGCCCTCTCGAGCCTGCTGCCGGTCGTGTGTGCAGGGAACCTGGCGTGGCCGTTGCTCTCAGCGTGCTTGTCCGCGATTTGAATGTCGACCGTGTTCGACAAGACGACCGGCGCATTGAAGTCATAGCCAACGGCCTTCCGTTGTGGGGGGTGCGCGCAGCTCACCGTTGACACCACGTTCGTCTCCCCTCCTAACTTCTGCCGGTTTCCCACGCAGGGCCGCAACGCAGGAGCTGCTTTGCTCACCGCGAGACGAGCTAAGAGCGCAGTTACCGTTAATTGTGCAGGTCCAACCGCTACGTGCTCTTTCACAGCCAGCCTGCTGTCCTTGCCCCTTAGTGGCACGGCCAATGTTGATGGGGAGTTGCCGCCCCTGAGCGACATCCTCTTCCCAACCTCCGCTCGCCAGCCGCCTGCTGTGAATGCGCCCTGGGCGTGACCTTTTACCGTAGACTGTCGCCTTATAGGCTACTGCACTGGGACTGCTGTGGACGTCGGCATAAAAGGCGCGTGGGGAAGAAAACAAAACTTTGTGTCAAGATTCCGCCAGTGACGTTATTAGACGCAGTACGTCGCAACACATGCGGCAATTCGGAAATTGCAAACTGCAGCCGCTCAATTCTAAGTTGCGAAGCAACGAAGCAAACACGAATATGATTCACAAAAGTTGTTTGCTGTCGCTTCAAAGCCGTGCAGCGTCCTGGATTTGCAGCAGTGCAGGGATGTTCGGTATATAAGTAGTATATGCCCTTTGCGTTGAAATATGTCGCAACCCAACCAAAACGATTGATTTCGGCGAGATCGAGTTGCTTTATCGATGTGGTTGCAGCTGAGGTGACAGTTGGAACACTCCGTGGCTTGGCCGAGCTGACTCCATGATTTATGGGATTGGACTACAATCTTGCACTTTGAAACTCTCGACTTGAAACAGCACTGAGGCAAGTGCGCAGATGAATTGCAGAAATATGCCGAAACGACAAAACAGGGCATGTTTTTCGGTTGCATTTGGTACTTCAGAAAAGCTCCCACATGGTCAGACTGCTTGATTCGGAGCAGCCGAGGGTGGAGTCCATCGAGGCGGAGAAGGCGCGGCGAACAGCGACGCAGCGATGTGTGAGGGATGCCGCAGCAGCATGTGTCTGTACAGCTGGTGCGACCGGCCAGGAATTTGTCAAAGAATATTCCAAAGCTGCACAGCAGATAGCGAGAATAGGCGATGTGGAGCCTAGCAGGCAAATCCTTTTGGCATGCAACAAGTTTGTGGGCGACCCAGTGGGCTAAGGACCGTCTGTGGAAAAGTGTTCAGTCTTTTGGCAGCTACCGGCTATCCCTGCGTGTTATGTGTGAGTCACTTAAGCTTACCAACTTGAATCGGTCCCCGAACCAAGGACCGACACCAACAAATCTTTGCAAGTGCTGTTGGGCTGCTTGTGGTGCAGTTTGGAGTTGCTCCTGTCACCTTTGCGGAGCCATGCGTTGATTGGAACCCGGAATGACGTTCAACATCGTTCCACCACAAGAGTATGAACTTTGGCGCGATGCACGGTTTGCTGCTGTGTCCTGAGGTGATGCCGATGAGACGGACAAGCTGGCAAAGAAGATGCGGCCGCAGAAACATAACACAATTCGTCGGCTGTCGGTGGTTATAACTTCTTGGCATGTTTTGGCGTAGAACCGTGTCCTAACTCAGGACACCGCCGGGTGAAGCGGCAGAGGGCCAAACATCCTGATTCGATGCCAAATGAGCCAATCACGCGGGCCTGCAGTGCAGTCCCACGCATGCTATTTGGATCTGTTTGGGGCAGTGCAAGTCATGGACAGCCGTCGCTGATGAGGCTTGCAAAAAACGAGCGCATAACAGAACAGTCCGACTTGCCATGTAGCCGGTATGAATCGAAGTCGAACGAGTTGCAGGCAGCACTTTTCAACATTTGTCTCCGGTGTTGGATGATTGTCGGCTGCCGGTTTACAGTCGATATGGAGCTGATATGGAAATCTGTTGCAATGCCTCGAGCATCGGCGTTGGTTGGCGGACATATCCTAGCGAAATTCGCCGAATTAGCCAAAAGAGCATGTTCATTGTGCCACGGGTGCTGTCATACAGTGTACAGCAACATTTCGGGATGTGCAAAACAACTGAAACGTACACTGCAGGGCCGGCCTTGAACAATCATGGTGCCATGGCCTTTGACATGGGGAATGCTGTTGCTGATTTCGGGTCAGGATGTTCAATCATCGAAGGACACTGCTTTTCTTGGGTTGCATGTCAGCGAAACAAGGCACTTGTCTTTCGGAGCTGGCAGGAACTAGCGTGCCCAGTGTTGCCACGCAATTCGGTGGGTATATGCGTGGAGGAATGTGAAACCAACGACGATTGTCCCGCGGCCATCAAAGCTTTCGTTTGATTGTCAGCTGGTGGTGAGTCGGCGAAAAGCACGGCACAGGTGAGTTGCGTGGACAGAAAGGCCACTGGTGTTGCAACTCGTCCAAACATGTGCGATGCCTTACAGAGCGCATGGGTGCCCAAACCCCATGTTTGTTCACCATGTCAATGTGCAGGCTCAAACGGATGTGGTCACAGCTGTACAATGCCAGAGAGGCCCTCTCCAAAGCAACTAAATCAAGCATGCGCGCTTCGGAATTCTCAAGCCGAGGGTGGGAGCAATCGCCACACAGCCGAAGAGCTTTGAAATTATCGCAGTGTTGCTCAAGGCTTTGTTCGTGTTGATGTTGAAGACTCCCATCAGCAGATGTGCGTGAAGCTAGACAGCGGGATGTATCAGTGTCATGTCCAGGACGCTGCCTTTGCAGATGTCTTACATGAGCTGCCCCGCCCGGTCTCAAAGTCCGAGCTGCGCTCGCTGCTATTTGTTTGCATTGGCGGCTGTCTTGACATTCCCGAGGCATGGCTTTTCCCTGTAAAAGCTTTCATGAAAGCATGTTCGTTTGGGCAGCTGATACAATTGTTGGATGTCGCTTGCTCCTGTGCACCCTAGGCACATGCTGACAGTAAAATATGGAGCTGGCAATGCTCGTGATGCATGCCAGGTGCGTGCCTGCGGTTTTACCACTTTGATGGTGAGTCCATCTAGGATTCCAGCTCGATGCGGCAAGGCTTTTCGAAAGCTGTCGGCTCATGCCAAGGCAGGCTGCAGTTTCTTGAGTTCTTGTATGGGACGAAGCCCTATCTGCTCCGGACCAGGTATCTTCCGTTGAATGGGATGGATCATCTCCGAACTGTCAAGAGATTGAGTTGTAACAGTGCGAGAGTGAAAAGACACACACGAGGGCTCTTGACTCCGGCGCACCCCGAGCTTCGGGCACGGCTGTGATGACTCACAAGCCGATGGGCTGTTATTGCAGCATAGTTCCTGGCCTCGCCGGAGTATTGTCAGTGGTGCCGATGACCGTCTGTGTTGAGGTTCCCGTTCAGATGAATCGTGGATTTTTCGCTTTTTAGAAGTTTACATGTAATCCTTGGTGCGAACGATCAGCAGTGGAGACGATCAAGATCCACAGCCGACTGGTCTGTCTTCCGAAACACACCACTGTCCACTGCACAACGGTGTACGCCGAAGCTCAAGCATTCAGCATGTTTAAGCATGGGTCAAAGTTCGCATCGTTGCAAGCTCTGTTCCAGAGCACCTCTTCACCATTCTGACCCCGAAAAGCCCTGACATGATTTTGCACGAAGCCACTGCACAAACTTGAGTTGTAGCCAGCAAGTTGTACCCTGCATGTTTTATGCTCCGTCTCATTCTGTCCTCGGCTGAACCATATCAGCTCGCAGCTTGTTGGTGGCACCAATGCCGTCTTTTGCACCTTCCAGCGAGTTTCCTTCTGTGTTTGGTCCTTAAGGTCCCGTGCCACTCACGGCCGACGCATCCGCGCCTTGCGTCCAGGAGCTTCTTTTTTGGGATGGGGGTTTAGTGGTCGGAGTAGGATTCCGGCATTTCTCTCAGGCCCCGTCATTGCCGTGCAGAGTCATCGATGTCGAATGAGGGGCGATCTGGCCAAGCTAATGTGTCTTGAATGCACATGCTGGCATCCTTGTCATGTAGCTTTGAAGGTACACTGTCGCTTGTAGACACCTGCAGGTGCCCTTTAATATGCGGCCGTCGGCCACACCATTTATTCCATCCAGGCGAGACCTGACTTCTCATGATCGGCACAAGTATGCCGGCAGTCATGCATCGAGGGCAGCCTCAGCAAGTGCAGCAGCTAGGGATAATTGGAGGAGCTTCACTAGGAGTCGTTCATGCTGGCACTGGGCAGGCTGAGACCATGTCCATGCCCGCCTATGAGACAGGATCATGGTGAGCAGGCTGTGGTGCAAGTGCTTGACCCAGCAATGGAGAAGCTATTTGTTGTCTTGTGTTCGACACACATCGCTGTACAAGGAAGTCACGGAACCAGATTCTCTCAACTACTGGAGTTTTGGGTTGCATTCTCCGGCGTGTTCTTCGCTGTAGAGTCACCTCGCTCTCTCTCTCTCTCTCTCTCTCTCTCTCTCTCTCTCTCTGTCTGTGTTCTACGCACATGAAACATAGAATGACATAGAAGGTGTTGGAGCAAACGTCAGAGCAGCACCTTGCATCTTGAACAGAAACGCCACAAACCTGGTGCAGTCGAAGAATCTGAGAGGTGCAGTGGGACCAACCTGATTCTCACTCCCAACCTCCGCCGGATGCACGGAAGATGGCCTCTCGGACTGTCAGACATGGACACTCTGAAACCTTGGCAAGGCTTACATCATGCAGCGTGTCAGTCTATACTTGTCCATGACAGGAGTTCAGCGCGGATGCAAAAAAACCGAAAGCCACAAGTCCTACGATCTGGTAAACCTTGAACTTCAACTCTTTGTCTGCCCAGGTCCAGCTAGAATCCTCGAGGCGCAAAGACCCATGAGGGGATAGGGTATTGACGCTTGCAGACAGATTGGAGACACAGATGCGCCGCAGAAATCCTCCTTCTGCGTCGACAGTTGGCAACGGTGAGACCACAGTCCGTTTCTCAGCCGGAGGAATGTGCACTCACATAGATGTTCTGCAACTGTTTCACATGCCAAGGTTGCCGTGTTCCCCAGCATCCCGCGGAAATACTACCGACACACGCCCTCAGACCCGAGCTTAGCCAGCGGAGTGGGCATCTAAAGTTGCATATGCACGACGGACTCAGCAGCCACGGGTCAGGTGGGGACCTGGCGAGGAGCTCGGCTTGAGGTCTGATCGTTTGTTTTCGGGGGTTGAGAAGCCAAGCAAGACATGTCGGCCTCGCAGCCGTTTGCCCAAGCCAAAGCAGGGTACGACCTTGAGAGAATGAGTTGCACTTGGCGACTTCCGGAGCTGAAAGACCAAGCTCTTCAGGACAGGCCTGGAATGGCTCGGCTTTGGACACAGGGTTTGGTCTGCAGGAGACGGGCTACTTGTTGACTGCATTCCTCGATCCGGAGGCCCCAAGCTCCTTCCAGAAGCCGAAGTTTCCTTTCCTCGTGCCTGTGCCTGAAGGCGCTTGGAACACTTTCCTGTGTCAGTCACACGTGGACTGGGCCGGCTTCCTCCTTTGACTGGGCAGGTTGCTGCCAGGTTGGGGGCGCGCTCGACAAAATTAGGATTTCTTCATCATTCACCTTGGCGCCTGCAAGGCTGATTTCGGTGCCGTGTGCTCCCAGTAGCCTGGGCAGATTATTCCTTGGTGGTGAGTAGTCTTATCAGTCTCTCATGCTTGCTTCCACTGGAATGCCACCCCTGGCAAACTGCACTGCAGAACTTTTTTTTTGGTAGAAGCCGACGGGCCGGGCTGGCTTTCTGCTCGCGTGCTTGCACTCAATCGTTCTGCCTCGTTCTGCTTTGTGAAGTATGGCCTCAAGCTGGCTGTGGTGCCGAGGTATCTTAGATATTTGGAGCTGGACAGCCGTGCTGGTACAAGCTTCAGTTGCTCGCCAGCAATGAAGCAAAACTCCTCACCCCGGGAGCAGGAGCAGGAACAGGAGCAGCAGCAGCTGTGAGTTTGTACATTTTCTATTGGCTGAGGTTGGCGCTCGCTCTACCTGCGACTACGAGCATTCCATCGTCAGCTAGAGCCTCGCCCAGAGTTCCGCACTGCAGGGTTGCAAGTTAAAGGATGTTTGGGACCCGTTTACACTGCTTAGGATGCTTTCCCGAACTGCTTGCAGCATCGCTTCGGTCCAGAAGCATGGAGAAATGCTCCCTCGGTCCGATTGAGTCAGGCGCAGTTGCCTCTGTGCCAAGTAGTCGGTTGAGAGTCGTAAGACTCGGCATGGCCAGGCTAAGAGCATGCCCCGATTCAGGATTCTTGTCGATTGGTGCAAGGAGGGCACTCGGTGCTTTTCTGTGGCGACGCCGAGTCTCGACTTTCCTGTTGTGGGGGGGTACATGTTCGCATGGTTTGTTACTGTCGCAGCAAGCCGTGGAAGCATGTTCGGAATGCGCACAGGAGCATGTTGGGATTCTGTCAATGACATCGGCAGCAGGTTCATCTCACCCATCTTTCAGGCACAGCTGTTGGGCTGTTAGGAACCATGAGCCAGCATCAAGCTTGCTAGTTTCTGCTGGTGTTGGTGGGCCACCCATGCTTTGCCTGAAGCCGGCAGGCCCGCAGACTTTCTCGATGCCTCTTGGATGCACATCGTTGAATTCTTGGACGTTTGGCTGCTCTTCCATCCCCATAACACTGGTACTCCAGCTTGTGCTCGAATTAGTTTCGAGAAGAAGTCGGTGGAGTTGGTTATAGCTGGTTATAACTCGCATAGTAATTTGCCTTCAGGTGGTGCCGGTCACGCCGCATTCCGTCATTGGTGTATCCCTGGCGCTGGACTTGGAGAGGTGGTGCTTCAAAGACAAGGCATCGTGCACGGGCAGATCGCCAACCGGACTTGAGAAGGAAGATCCTACGGAAGACTTGCGACTTTTCGTGGAGCACGTTGCTTGTCTGCGATTTCTGTATAGATCTCGATCAATGCAAAAAAAGCTAAATATGCAAGCATGTGCAAATTCATCGATGTGTAGCACGTCCATGATGCAGTGTGTTCGCCCTCTTTTCGTCAGAAGGTCGCGGCAAGGCTCTTCGTCTTCGCCGGGGTTTATATCCATGCGTTTGACCTCTTATCACTCGAGAAGACCTATGTGTGCGACTTACGTAAGACGGCCTTTACCCGACATTACCCGACTTTCGAGCGAGTGCGAGCCTCTGCCAGTCGAAGTCTTGGAATGCCGCTCTGTAAGGTAGTCTCTGCCCCGAGCTGGGAGAGGTGTGTGGTGCGGGATGGTTGTTGCACTCCAAAACAAAGGCGTTCAGATGCTGTGCGATGCCAGGCATGCAGAGCAGCTTCTTGCACGATGGGATTATGGGGAAGCTTTTGTCGCTTACCAAGTTGAAGGCGAGGTGCACATCGAGTGCTTCGTTCCAACTGTGCTGCATCGACTATTCGTCACATTGTGTGGTGTGCCAGGATGCGAGGCCTGCATATGGTCCACCTCAGACGGCGCAGACATGGGCAAGGTCACATCTGGTAATCAATTCCTATGCTGCGATATTACCAGCTTCACTTTTGGAGGCAGCAAAAAGCTGGTGGCAACCTTGGAGACTGATGGAGGCATACGAGTTTTCACTAACGTGCAGAGTGAATGGCGTCTTGCCCAAGCCGTGCAGACTCTTTCCCTGGTTGTAGAAGTCAAGTTGGAACGACACCTGCTGGTCGCTGTAAGCCATTCGGCTGGCACGGGTTCTGTGCACGTTTGGCATCTGGGCTTCGACACGTCCCGTGATCCAGACGTCGTACTACTCCTGCAAGAGTATTGCAAGCGCGACTTCACACAGCCTCCGGACAGAGTCGAAGCCAGGCATGGAGCAAGGTTTATTGAAGTTCAGTTCCTGACAGAGGGATTGTCTGTGGATGGGATCTATGACGTTGAATGGCTGGAGCCGTCCCAGTTGCATTGCTTGCTGGCATTGAAAAGTTGTATTGGCGACTGGAGATGTGACCTGAGAGATGCGATCGGTGTGCTCGGCAACGACAGTGAAGGTACTGTCCTTCGCTGGCTGCTCTTATGGCAGCCACTGCATTCGATTCAAGCGAACATGCACAGTTCGTGGCAAAAGGCGGCATGCTTCTTGATATCTTCTGGTCCTAGCCTGTCTGGTTGATTTTTTGGATTGTCTCCCCCAGGAGGTGAACTTGGAAAGGCGAGCAGTAACTTTTAAATCGCAAACGCCGAGGCTGTTCTCACAAGCCATAGAGAAACACGTCCTGCAGTATCTGCCATGTCTGCACGGGATTGGCACGTCATGATGCTCTCATCCAGAGCTTTTGCAGTCGGTCAACCGAACCAACCAGCCCAGAGTTCTGTTTGCTGAGCTGAGCATCTGCATGTGGCGACGATGCACGACACATGAAGATTCAGAATGAAGATGTGAGTGATTCCCAAGGATGCTCAGCCTTCCGGGTCCAACAGTGGATGGACGAGGTGTGTGGCCAGTGTCTCCAAGAGTTCGTGTGTTTCGCTCATGAAAGGTGGCCTGGACAAGCACCGCTCCTAGATCCTCCGGAGTTCCCTCGCTGTCTTGACATGCCGCCATAACAGTATCCCGTCAGTGCTGAGTTGTTGCGCTAAGTCAAGAGCTAGACGAGCAGTGTGCTACCTCTTGCCCAGGCTTTCGTGTCATGGCAGTGGCAGTCACATCGAGGACTCCCACGCAGGTGTCTCAACTTATTTTGAAGTGCGCAATTGCAAGGACAGAGAAGACGCTCGATTAGAACAATTGTACGGATCTTACAGATGTGGCTGCCTGTTTGTGCCGTTTCGTTCTTGTTTCATGTTGCTTGTCCGTGATCGTTGCGCACTTCGTCGATCTCTGCACATCTGGCCCTCTGCTGCAGGATATCGGCTGCTTCACGCAAGGCAGCTGCATCCTTCGACCGGCTAGTTAACCCGCCAGGGCTTCAGCCCATCAGCAGAAGCAAAGCAGCAGAAGCCAAACGACTGACCTCACGACAGTCGCAGTACTTCTCAGGTCGCTCCCTGTCCTTTGCCCAGCCAAAAGGGTTATCTATTCTTAAGCTGCCCAGTGGGTGTCGTCGGCGGTGTCAGGCTCTACGCTTCAGACCTTCGGCTGCGGCCTCGGCAGATCCCTGTGAGCACAGAGTCGATCCCCGCGCCCGCGCGCTGCCAAGGTCGGCACCTGGCTGCAGCCATACCCGGCCAGAAGAGTGATGGGCGGTGGCCTGGCCTTGCGGTTCCTGTGGCTCGTCCTTCTTTGAGACCGAGCACTGTTGAGGCATGGGTGCTCCACAGCTCCAACTACAAGATGCAGAGGTACCGGGCCATTGCAGCCCAAAATCAGACGGATTGACATTTTGTCTTGATTCGACGCACCCGCAGCAATTCGGCTCATAGTTAGCTGGGGGCCTGGCCCAGTGTCTCTGTGAGGATCATCTCAGACTGATGATGAGATGGAATCCACAGGCCGTTTGTGATGGTGTTTCTGCTGGGGAGCGTGCTGCATGGTGTGTGGAAAACTTGGGTGGCCTTGCCGCACAGAACGCTCCGGTTTCTCAAATGATTATATCCCGACACAACCACCGAACGCGGTAAACTGGTAACCTGTGGTCCTCAAATCGGCTCCACTATTCCCAATTGCCGGCAGATGTTAAGTCAGGTTTTGCTTACAGCTCCCACAAGTAATCAAGAGTCGACCAGAGGGGGGCCTAAAAGGGTGGTAAAGCTGCGAAGCTGCGCTAACCTGGCACAAGTGTCGCTATTGGGGGGTGTCGCACCAGGATGTGACAAGGCCACGCCTGGCACGTCGTGGAGCGACACGAGCGGCGGGCGAGGGTTTAGGGGTTTAGGGTTTAGGCTCTTGCAAGCTGGATGCAACACAGGGTTTAGGATCAAGCCCAGTGCTACTGCGAACAGGATTTCGAGGTTTAGGGCTTGGGATGGTTTGGGGTTTTGGGCAAAAGGGATTAGGGTTTTGGTTCATGCCACTTGATTGCGCATTGAAACACCTGAAAGACGAACACTTGGCCGCGGAGAGGGCATTCGGGGAGAGGAGAAGGGAGCATAGGGAGTACCATCTTTCTTCCAGTACTAGCCCACAGAGGTTTGCCGGTTTTCGGGTTTAGGTTTCGGGTGTAAGGGCACCAGAGTGGGTCCTCAGCCAGCCGAATCCCTCTACGAAAACATCTCAGGACTGTCGAGCGAAGATGCGCAATATCGAATCATGAACGAGTTTCCACTTAAGCTGCTTGTCCATTTCTGCTGACTTCTTTGGCATGTATCCAAGATGGTTTTGGGTGCCAACGCGTGAGAATTGTGAGGTTTCCTAAAGGTCTTTGGAGTCCTAGCGTGCTCTGCGACGGGCATGTGGCAGAAGAGCGCCTCTTGACAGCAGTGGAATGACTGACTCGTGGCTCGTGTGGATTCGTGAGGAATTTCGTTTTGACGTTTCTGAGAGGCAAGTCTAGTACTGAATGCATCAAGGAGCCTTGTGGTGCATGGAGCATTTGGGCATGTCAGTGGAGGAAGCGCAGTGTAAAGAGCCGACCTCAGCCGTCTTTCCATATCTCCATATCTCTCTCGCTATCTCTCTCTCTCTCTCTGTCTCTCCCTATCTCTCTCTCTCTCTCTCGCTGTGTCAACTCGCGAGGTGCTGAGCGAGTTTCAGGATGCATTCTCCGCCACCACCACAGCAGATGCAGGATGTATTTACATTATTATTGAATATGCTGTGATATCTCCGAGCAGCATGTTACCACGTTACTGTATCACCCACCCAGAATGATCAACACCTGCGAGGAGATGACACTCCGGGGCCCTCGTTGGCGGATGCGTGCTCTGTGCAGCCGGAAGCAGGTGCCGCGGAGACAGAAAGGCCACAGCACATATCTGTCGCCTGGAGCCTAGCCCGTGCAAGTCTCCCAACCCTCCTCGCTCCCTATAGCCGTTCCTGTGGACTTGAGAAGGTCAAAGCCGAGATCGACGCGCTGCTCGTGCCGGACGGGCCTTTGGCTGAGCATGCAATCTACGAAAGCAGCAGTCGAAGCTGCGGCTGATGCGGCTGATAACTCAGGAATGGGTGGGATCCCGGCGTTATGTGCGATGGAGTCTCTGCCGGAGATCGGGCCCGATGGTGTGTTTCAGAGCTGGGGCTGACGGCGCAGCAAGCCAGGTGCTGCAATGGGTTCTTGCAATGTTGCGCATGCCTTGTCAAGAGAATTTCAAGCAAGATGCCACTGATCGGTCAAAGCACAAGTTTCCATCTGTGGTGGTTGCAGCCCAATCCCTGGATTGTAGTGGGTTTTTGTTGTTGCGGGGAGGGGGGAGGGATATTGTTTCTTGTCTCTGTGTGCGTTGTGAACTCTCCTCGCTCATGGGCTAAGGGAGGTCACTCTCCATCCTCATGCACCTTTCGCTCGCTTTTTCACAAGCAGGGGGGCAGTGCATGCCTGACAGTCATTGCCCAACGAAGACACTGTCGGCACATGGCGGTATTTGGCCTGATCTTCTGCCGTGATGATTCCAACGTAATCATATCTGGAATCCTCGCTGTACATTGCTTGTCATAGATGTTGGTGCAGCAAAGCTTGCTGAGGGTTGTTCGCACATGTTGCACGGCTGCAGCAATTTGAAGAGCTTTGCCACAGGCAGCCAGGCACGCCGCAAAGCTAACCAGCAGCATGTGAGTATGGGAGGCAAAAGCATCCATGAGTACGAACATCCGTTAGAAAGTGTGATAAAACGGCTATCTCGTGGTGGTCTCGCTTGAGGACAACGAAGATAAAGAGCCGCGCGCCAGTATTTCAAGTCGCCTCGCAGATTCAGGCCCTTGCGCAGATAAGTTTGCACAACCACTGCAGGAGCTTTCAAACCATATCTTGAGTGCATGCGAGGGCCGGTAGACACAGGATTAAGGAGTCCAGTCAATCCTGATTGTGCAAGGGGGTTTGTTTCGATGTTGGGGTTGCAGTTTGGACATGGGCATTCTCGAGGCCGCACCATTCACGGGCCTTGCGGGACAAGCCATTCGGCCTCAGATGGCGAATTCATGCGTAGAGGGGGGGCAATCGGTGTCAACTCACATCTGAAGATTTCAAGGCGAGGAATGGCACGATCCCTCACACGTGGTAAGGACTCGTGCTCTCGTGCTCTTTCGGAATATTCGCCCATTTAGGGAATCCGCGGCAACCGTCTGGAACGGTCCTGTCCAGGCTTCAGGGATTTGCACGGTCCTGTCCAGGCGTCGGGGATTTGCACGGATGTCTCTACGCCACTTGACCTGGGTTGACATGTCCCGCGACTCTGAAGTCCACAGAACAGGGCGCGGTTCCTTGATGTGTCACTCCCCATGTTATGTTACTGTACCAAATCGTAGAAAGCGTTGTGTGTTGCCCGATGCCACAGGGACCGCGTCATCAGCGAGTACGCTACCAACTTTGGCAGAGCAATTCCCTTGCAAGAGCGTGGTGTCATGGCATCAGCATCCGGTCAGCACTGGGTCCTTTTCTTGCAGCTTGTTCTGCAGAAACACGAGAGTATCGCAGCAAGGACCTCACGTGGATCCCTGTACCGCCAGCAGATGGGGAGCTTCTTATCTGGCATGATGAGTTTGACTACACAGGCAGGCCTGTTGGTCCGTGAATCTTCCTGTGTCGCTCCTACTGCGGTTTCTGCTTCAGGCCCTCCGGATCCATCCAAATGGTCGTTCGAGCTTGGAGACAGCGGCTGGGGGAATGGCGAACTTCAGTTTTACACTGACTCGCCAAAGAACGCCTATGTTTCGGATGGATGCCTTCGAATTAGAGCCTTGTTGCAGAAGTGTGGGTCGCGTGACTTTACATCCTCTCGTTTGACGACGCTTGGCAAGAACGACTGGCAACACGGCCGCTTTGAGGCACGCGTGCGGCTTCCATGTGGCCGTGGCACATGGGCAGGAATCTGGATGATGCCCACAACTGGCGAGCCCTGGCCCACAGGTGGTGAGATTGACATCGTTGAACACGTAGGGCACGATGCAGGGAGAATTCATGGCACCGTGCACACTGCCCTTTGCAACCACCAGCAAGCCAGTCAAGTTGGGGGCATTCTGCCCCTGTCAGTCGATCTCTGGCATACATACGGCATCGAATGGAATGCGGAGCGAATTGACTTTCACTGTGATGGCTTCCGGTATTTCAGAATTTGCAAGGACCTTTGAGACGGCCAGTTTCAGAACCCGCCCACTCATGTTGCATGTGCTGGCATTGTTAACGGGTTTCGGCCAGTATGTAGCCCTTCAGGTGGAAGGTGCGGTCTTCCTCTGGGCCTCTAAGCGTCCTTCACGTCTATGCTGGTCCTTCCTACGGGTTTCTTTTTCTTGGCTCTGCCGAGTTGACATTCGCAGTCCACATCTGCCGCTTTAGTAGAAAGCGGGCATCACAGGATTCCAGACTGCATGCTCCGGCTTCGGCATGTTCGGGTCAGAGCTTACTTTACCCGGCACCAGCCCACAAAGGCCTGCTAGGATCCCTGTTGCTGTAGAAGCTGAGACGGGGAGTCAAGATTTGTTTGCGGCAAGCTTCAGCCAGTTTTTGGGCGAACCCAATCAAAACCTCGACCGGCCAAAACCTCCATACTAATACCAGATCTGAAGTCTAGAAATTGCCTTGCAGGACAGTGGTGCCAGCAAGGAAGGTTGGCCATTTGACACCCCATTTCACCTCATCATGCGGCTTGGTGCATGTTTTCATCAGCCCGTCATGCGAACCCAGTCTTGTAAAATTTTCTGCTTACATCGCTACGGGATGGTTCTTGTCGGCAGGAACTTGGCCGTTGGTGGCAATTGGGGTGGCCAACAGGTGCGTGCAATGCTCTGATTGCATCCTTCCTCGATGTCTGCAGCAGAGTGGAAAGGTTTGTGCTGTAGACGCGTATCTGAGCTACTCTTGCCAGGGCATCGATCGGACGGCTTTCGAAGGTGATGGGCAGGTTATGGAGATAGCCTGGATACGTGCCTACAGACTTCAGCACGACCCGCCCGAAGAGATGTGATCCCGACCTCGCTTTCCAGGCTCAGTGCACGAACGGCGACGGCCTGCATCCACAGCACCGTCAACAGCAAGGAGGGATGCGAGCTCTGCATGGCATGCCGGCAGCAACGTCCTCATGACTTCCTCCAGTGATTCCAGAAAATGGGGACAGAGCAGAACATTGGCACGAGAGGCCCGCCCACGATGGGTCGCGACTCTTTTGCGACTTGTCTAAGACGAGTGCGGGCGAGAAAAATGCAGTGCAAGTCGCATGCTCGAAGAGTGGACAGAGACGCTTTGGGTGTTGCCGCTGCTCTGTTCGGTTCATCGTTGGTGCAGGCAAAGGGCCCACCTCCGCGTGAGCTTCCACAGTTCAGGCGCGATTGGAGTGACAGCATGGTTTTTTTGATGGGTAGTGCCAAGACTTGTCTTTCACGTCAAAGACTGCAAGACTACCAGGCAGGAATGCATTAAGGGGCTTCACGGCTCTATAGCCATCTCCGATTGCTTAAGTGGATTTGGAGTGCTGCATCGAGTCAACCCTGGCACTTCAAAGCCCCGAAGACGATGGAGCTGCAGTGAACCGAAACAAACGAATGTTTAGCAGTGAATGAACAGACACTCGAACCCCTTGAACTCATGGAAGCTATTTGGGGACACGCAAGGCCCACTGTGCTGAGATCCCGAGATTCCATTTGCGAAATGCCACCTTTAAAACTAGATTCGCTTGATTTGTTTTCCAATGAAGACACGGCAGAGCGGACATACTCCAGGAGATGGGTGCTTAATTTGCATTATAGACTGGCAGGGAACAGCTGCAGCTTCCAGCATGTGCTGCAGCATGTTCCACCATCTCTGCTGCCTTTTTCTATTGCCCCCACCGTTGCGGATCTTTCTATGCTTAACATAAAGAAACCCACGCTACAATATCTCATCTAATTACCAGGCTTCGTCGAAATCCAAGTCCAATGACTCACGGAAGTTGTCATGCATACACACACACACACCCACACACCTAGCTGTGTAAGAAAACGTTCCGTTCAGCGACCGGCAACTAATAGCACAAGGAGCCCCTCCCTTTCCTGCTATCTCTGGCTGGAATCCGACGGCGTTTTCCGTCATTCCCATTTCGAGTCTTCTTTGCAGCTTGCACCAGGCCGTCCGACACGCCAACAACCGAGAAGGAGAAGTTGCTGTTCAGGGCCAGGCAGGGAGCATGGACTGTGGTTCGTGCAGGAAGAGCGCCTCGAGCTACACTTTTTCCACCTCTCCTTGGGCAAGGCAGGCGTTTTTGGGCACTATCTAGGTTCTGCTGGCCGGTGAAGTCACTTCACAGGTAGATCCAGAAGCTTTCAAGACGGAGTTGATGTTGGCGCTGCTTGGCATAGGATTTCCACAGGACGTATGTCGACAGCATGCAGTTTTGAAGTTCCTGTATTTGCACGCCAAATAGAGTGTCCTGCAGGAATTGTTGGCCAGTCTTGCTGTTGGCTTGCGCGCAGGCTGAGCGGGGATGCTCTGTTGTATGAGTCTTTATGAGCGGGATTCAGTGCACGAAAGGTGGTCTCGTGCGAGCCGTTTGCGAGAGTTAACAGAGCCGCCCCTCGCACGTGCCTCTGTGCTTTGCAAGGCTCGGTGATAGCCGAAATCCGGGGCCCTGCGAGCAGCATGCGGCAATCATAGCTTTTAGGGGGAAGCTTTGGACACTGGTCCCGAGACGGCATGGAAATGAAAATGCGGGCTGAGGCAGAAGTTGAAGTCGCTGCCGGTGTACAGCATCCAAGTCATGGGCTGCCAGGAGGGAACGCCACGCAGCCGGAGCCAGCACACAAGCGAGCGCATTGCAGTTTGAAGGCACAGTCAGCAGCTAGTGCCGCGGCAATGGCAGCAAATGCCGGGGTGAGATGCCTCAGCTTTGACGAATTCGACTGACTAAACGTTGTTGCAAAGTGTGAGTTCTGCTCGGTGTCCAGGCTCAGGCCTGCTCTCAAACATATCCCTTCTCAGTCACCCTCACCAAGAAGCCCTCGCTGCGAAGCTGCATGTAAACTCGTGCAAGGTCTTGCCGCCAAGACTACCAGCATTAAACGAATCCGATAAGGTGGGAGTATGCTTCGTTGACTGCCTTGCAGCCTGCCGATGTCAGTGGATTTCAGTGGCGATCACTGTGCTAACCGTCGAAGGATATTCCTGGGGCTGATTGTATGGGACAAGCAGAGTCCACAGCAGTGGGTCCAGATGGCTCCTCAAAAATGTGTGGCGCAACGTGACAGCACTTTCCTTTAATTGCCGGCTGCATCCAGGCCGCACCAGTGTCGGAAACCCCCCTTACAGCAGTGACAAGTGCTGACCTCAGCCGTTCTTGGGCAGGCACTGCATAGTGTTCAAAGGCTGTTGCTCGCACTGTTACACGAAAGCCCGCAGAATCATGCCACAACGCTCCTTTGTTCCCTACAAGCCTCTTGACACAAGGCTGCCTCGTACACAGCTTCTTACAACTCTGGCTGGGAAGTGTCGTTTGTGTTTCGGATGCGACAGACAAGTCTTCATGCATGCGCAGGCTCAGCACACCTGTTTTTTGACTAACTGTCGTTCAGTCTGGAAGATCACGCAAAACGTTTTCGTTTCGCAACTGTTCTGTCAGCGATTTAGTGCAAGCTTCACTAAAGACTGCAGGGGCACGATGGGAGGGATTTAGCAAGAACTCTTCAAGTAATTTCCGAAGCCTAAAGACGCATGCTTCTGGGATCTTCTGCACTTGAAGTCCAGGCTCTCCTGGTGCTCAGCTGCCCGGAGCTCAGCATCCGTTTGGCTGTGAAGAGCAAGCGCATGCAAGCGCCCTGTCGCGGAGGCCTCTTTTGGCTGAACATTCGCAGCGAGGCACTAGTGGCGGGACCCGGCATCTGATCTGTGCTTACAGTAGGATCGGCGCAGCTTTCCAGCCCACCGAGGTGCAGAGAGTCGCACTCCCCTACTTTCGGGAACGCCAAACCGAGATGCCATCTTCTCGCCCGATCGCAGAAGCAGGACGCGAAGCCGTGTCCTGTTGAATCGCTGGACGGGACAGCATTTCTCTGCGGGCTTCTGTTCTGCTGCAGGCCAACGGGATTCCGTTCCCAGGCTGCTCTGCCAACTGAGCGGCGAAAGGTTCGCCGCGCAGCCATCGCATTTTGTGTCGGATTGAGGGTAGCCGGGTAGCTGTAGGGAGTATATACTGGCGGCCAGAGCCGAACACCCTTGTTGGTTTTGTTTGTATAGCCGTATATGCTCAACTCAAGTGCAGTATCTACCCAGCGGGGTGCATGCAATGCCAGCTGCCCCCCTGTCAAGCGAGGAGATACACAGCAGATTGTTCTTGCGTTTGCTGCAATTCGCAACAACTTGCAGAATTTCTCGCCAGGAGCACCGAGCACTGGTTGGGCTTCCTGACCGTGGCAGACGTGTAGTAGGCCTTACGAAGGTGGGTGGCAATCAGTGCTGTGAGGTTCTACGTTGTTTGCTGTTCTTAAACCTCGTGGGTTCTCACATCTTATAGTTTTTCCTACGCATCTCCGTTGCTATGCACCCTGCGGCCAACAGCCATGAGAGAAGCCATGTTGAGTGGTAGACTGACACTTCAAGTCACTGCCCTGTCAGCACTCGACGGTTGCCGCCTAGCTGCATTGTGCCGCATTCGAGACAGCTGAAACGGGAGCGTGAGCAGGGGGTGGCAGAGATTCTCTTCCCTCCTTTCTCCCTCCCTTCTCCCTCCGTCTCCCTCCCTCTCCCTCGAACTCCCTTTCCCTCTTCAAGTGGAGGTCCTACCAGGAAATTTGCCAACTGAGCAACGGGAATCGTTCGCAAATTCGGAGCCCAGGATGAAATCATCTACGGCTTAGACTTTGACCGGTCCGGCTCCGACCCTCATCGGGACCTGAAGCATATCTTTGGTGAACGCGCCGCGGTATTCTTTGTTGTATGCCAATTCTTGACAGGAGTACATGAAGCAGTTTGCTGATTTCGCTGGTGTTCCTTCAGGCCACAAGCAAGGTGGCTGTTTTGTTGCTCGCCCATTCACCCATGAACTTTTGGTAGCTTTGGGACCGCCACAAAAGTCAAGTTATGCAAGTACCCGCCGCAGGTGCCGACAACAAGAAAAAGCGCCGAGCTGTTCTAAACTACTGTGTCTTGCAGGCATTTGGAACTGCTTTTTGGCTGACCTGCCTCCTCACATGCCGAGGCTCACAGCTTACACACCATGTGGACGAGAAAAGCCCGCATGAAGAGTTCATGCAGCGATTTAGCTGCTTGGCTGCTGTGATCGCAGCCTTCCAAGACATTCTTCAGAGCTTGATACGTCTTACACGATGTCGATCATTCATATTTTGTTGGAAGTTGGCCGCACTTATCTGACTCTCTGTCTACTGCAGTTCTAGCAAGCCCTCGGACGTTTCTTCCGCTTCTTCGGAATGTTTAGGTTTGATCGCTTCTTCTCCTGTCTTGTGGCAACTCTGCACTCTCACTTTCGAGCATCAGGGTTGTATGCATATGTTTATCTATATATATATATGTGTATATATATATATACACATACACACACATATCTATATATATATATATGTATTTATACATACAAAGATATATAGACACATAGATACACATATATGCAGGCACGCACGCACGCATGCACGCACACACTCACTCACGCAGGCACGCATAAATTGATAGATATAGATATAGAAACAGTATGATAGATATGGATATGGATATGGATATAGATATTGGTATAGCCAACTGGCTAGCTAGCCAGCCAGCCAGCCAGCCAGCCAGCCAGCTAGCTAGCGAGCAGCTGGCTAGCCGCTAGCAGCAGCTAGCTAGCTAGAAAGAAAGATAGATCGCTGGATGGATGGATGGATGGATGGATGGATGGATAAGCAGGCAGGTAGGTAGGCAGGTAGGTAGGTAGATAGTAGATATGTTGCTGATATGTTCATAGACACCTTCACCCGGAACACGCACAGATCTCCAAGGCGACCGGGCTGGAGCCAGGTATGTGGAGAACCGCTCCAGGCCTTTTCGAGCTCCAGGCCGCTCTATTCCTGTCGTTCAGTGTAGCAAGCTTTTGACAGGGCATCTGATATCTGAGGCCTAGCACATGTCTCAACGATGGGGGAAGTTATCCATGGGAGAAGTCCAGCAGGCCGCTGAGGGAAAGCCGACAGCTATCAGTGGGATGCAAGAAGCGGCACAATCCGAGCTTTGTGCTGGCCCTGCAGTTGAATCGCCACGGGGCCAACGGATCAAGAGCTTCAGTCTCTTAGCTGCAAGCCAGGTTCTGGCAGACCCTTGTGGTGACTGTTAAGCTCCGTAAATTAAGAGCACGGTGTGGCAAGGCGCGGCAGGATGCAAGAGCGTTCCCGAGTTGGCTCACCCCGAAGGAAAATCCATGGTGTCAGCTCGCTGCTCAGCCAACGTGCTGTTTTCTCTGCGAGCGCATTTGCTCAGTGTCCGTCCGTGACTTGTTTCTGAAGGCAACGTGGACAACAGGTACAATGTCAGGCGGCACGTACAAAGATGCCAGTCCGTTTGTGAAGGAGTCCGATCAACGTGCCTAAGCAAAAGCTAGCAAGAGTACTGAATCCAGTGCTGCTTTCTCATAGTTATTGATGTCTTGCTCTCTGACCAAGGATTTGCCGACTATGCTGGGAAGACTCTTCTCTTCCATGGGTGCAATTGCAGGGTACTCTCATGAGCCTAGTAGATTCACAAGCATGACGAGGGGAGGGTGGCTAGCTGCTAGTCTCATGAAGCAAGATTGCAAATTCTGCCGTCGCAAGGAAGGTCAACCTCGACGAGAAACCTGCCAAGAAGTGTAGCATACGTGGGATTTCGGCAGGACTCCCATGCTTCCCATGTAACGATGCGGAGTAAGCAGCGTATTCATCATGTCGTCAACTTCTCCCAGGTTGTAGACAAGCTTGTTTATGGTCGCGATATATCACAGCTCGCGGAAGATCCAGTTGTTGCTCAGCTGCCAGTGGTTACGGACAAGGGCAGCACCGGGGGATCCAACGCATGCTGCGCTATTATAGTAACTTACAGAAGCGATGCCCTTGAGGTAGAGTATGCCAAGAAACACGTCCGGATCCCGGCTCCTTGCCGTCCTTCCCATCTTAAGCCTGCGCACCAAGCATAGCAGGCTGGCTACGCCGGCTTCATGCTCGGGACTCTGTGACGCAGACCGGGACACAGAGCCGGACCGCACTCTATGCAGAGTGTGCAGAGTGAGGTGGAAGACAAAGCCAGGGCCAAGCGAGAAAGAAGAGTCAGAGGCCCGCCTGCTGCCGCTTCTTGAGTTTCTCGTTGATCGTGGGTCCGGCTGTGCAAACCTGACAGTCTGTGTTTCGTTGCGTTCCACTGCGCATGCTGCTGCATGGGTGAAAAGGCCTCGGAGAACTTCACGACACCCACGAATGCCCAGGTTGTGGAGGCCGACAACGCCTGAAATCGCTTGAATTTGTACTGCATAGAAAAGCCTGACATGTTGTGCCGACTTTACTATGTCTTTTTGGTTTGCATGTTTTTTCGTTTCGAAGCTGGAGCTCTCTACATCCTAGATCCTGGGTATGATTCCATGCCTTAGCAGAAGGCAAAGCGGTAGGGACTTGAGGGTCTTGACCTCGGCAGCTCAGCTGAGCTTCACATAGCTTTCGGCTAGAGCTTTAAGAAGACATCAAGAAAAAACCGAATGAGGCAAGGAGACGAACGCGCTAAGCTAGGTATCAAAACTTTCGCAAGAGAAAGAACTTGAGCATCCCGCCAGGTCAGCTTGTCTGCTTCAATTGTATACAGCTTGTGAGACTACCCGATAAGTGCTTGACATGCAGCTTTCTGCATTAAATGCGGTTTCAAACTTGACATGCGTGGCCGTTGCTGGGAGGGTGCTTGTCGTGGCAGGAGCATCAAGAAGCTCGGGAAGGGCAAGAGCCCATGGAGACATTCAAGGTGGACACAGGAACACAGGAGTAGCCTGGACAAAGTTGACTGACTCCGGCGCAGTTCGAGCCAGCGGCGAGAGAGTCTCCCGAGAACCCTACGTGACAGACTGAGTGAGCCAGAGCGACTTGAGTCAGAGACAGTGCAGCTTCCGCGGCAGAGAGGTAGTGGCATGGCCAAGACTGGCCGAGGTTCGAGGCCGCGACGCTTCGACCTGAGGAGTTGGAGCCTGCAGCGGGAGTCAAGGACCCAGATGTGGTTCTCATCACGGAAAAGCCTCGAAGATTCGTTGCCAAAGGCCAGCCCGGCGCCTTCCCCGAGCATGAAAAAGCGGGTCAACCCTTTCAGGGAGTCGTCCACCCAGCTTAACGATTCAATATGATTCAGCCGTCCCAGAGCAATAGACAGCTACGGTGCTTTAGGAAGGGCTCTCCAGTTGCCAGCCGCGGCACCTCGAGGACCCCTTCAGAAGCTTGGATGTGTCAGGTCCCTGTGCAGCTGAATTTTCATTGCCTTTGCCCAAGGTTTGCTCCTCAAGTGGTGATCCAAAGCCACGGTGGCGTTGAATGTCGGGAAGATGTTAGTGTCACGATGTCTGCCGCCGTAGAGCCTGCGACAGCCTTCTAATGTGTCTGGGGAGCTGGAAGCTTGGGTGTAGGGATGCTGCTAGCTGCTTGCCCGCTTCACATCCGAAGGCTTGCGCAGGCCAGGAGGCAGACGTGCTCTCTCTGTGCTCTTGAACCAAACAGGTGGTGGTAACTTACGAAGGCGAAGCTGCCAAAGGCAGCTACAGTGCCACGGCTTCGTGTGCGGGTTGCACGCAATGAGCACGGGCGAAAAGAGCTGGTAGGTATTGCACTCAATCGGCATTGCCAGAGCCGCTTTTGCTAGTGTACGCTTTAGGTAGGTAGTTGGGGGGTGGGACGTATAGGCTGGACCCCAACGACTGCGAGCACGGGACCGGTGGAACGTAGAGGTGAGGATGCTGTTGTTTTCTGGTGCAGTGCACCAGTGCCGATGCATTCGGCACTTGTGGAGGAGCTGCGGATTTGTGACATCATGTCACGGTCACTCGGGTGGACAGGCACGGGAAGGTCGTGTTCACGAGGCACCTTGCGTTCTTGCTTGTGGCCGGAAGGTTCGCAGCTTGACTTGGATGAGAACGATGTGGCAGAAGTTTTAACAGAGCTGTATGGCGAGGAACCTCTGCATCCCGTGCTCGCACAGCCTTGGCACAACTTCAAGCTCTGAATCCGCATGCTCGTGCTGTTAAGAACCACGTATTTGTGCACAGATGATTGGGAGGAGCTCGAGCTTGATGCTGTTCCTTGGACATTTCAACTCGCAAGCCGAGGAGAGACAAGGCAAGCTCCCACCCAATTAGCAATCCAATGACGTCTGGTTGTGTCGTTGCTGGTGGACCATCGTAGACGTACGGCGTCCTTTCTTCCGTGATGCTTTTGCGCTTGAACTTCTACGTCTAAACCCGGAGCATGTTGCATATTTGCAAGAGCCCGAAATCAAGGATTCGAATGAGTTGCCATCAAAAGATTTGAATCTTTCCAAAGCGGGGATGTAGCAACGTCTCGACAGTGTCACATGGCGTAGGTAACGAGATGCACTCAACCGCTTCAGGTGCACCAGCACAAGAGCCTTACTCAGCACATGCAGATGTGGCCTTGATAGGTTGTGGCTATTTTTGTGGTTAAGCAGCGGTCGAAGTGGTGTATGTGGGCCCAGGTGACTTGCACTATGCGCTGCGTGCGCATCACATGTGTCACTTCTTGCCACAGGCCTGCTTGTGGCACAAAATTGACAGGTTGCTAGTGTAGGAATGTTGACAGGCCACGATGCGGACGCTGGCTACCACAAATGTTCGGACCTGTTGCACCCATGAAGCTTGGAATTGCGAGCGCATCTGCGGAGGTTAGCTCCAGAGGCTGCGTGGATCGGGAACTGTTGCGGGACTTGATGGAAGAGCTCAACGGAGGCCAGCGATGCAAAAATGGTGGTTGGTCTGGCTTCCTAGTCCTCCCATGTGCCTATTCTCCCATTCTCTGTGCCGGTGTTGAGGATACACGGTGCTTGCGGCTCAGGCCTGGGTGCGGTGCCAGGTTGTAGCTGCGAGCATCCCTGTGGCACAACTGTGATGCTCTTCGTGTGGAAGGGAACAGCACCTCCGAGAGCAACTGCGATAGCCAGCGCCTGGACGATCCTTATTCTGTTGCCTTGCTCAGCAGGTCAATGCCGTCCTCGACGAAGCTGAAGCTTTGGCAGCCTGTGGGTCTGGAAGTGGCCGTGCATCGCTGGTTCGGGCGATTTCAGCGTGGTGCGCCGGCAATGCTGGCTTTTCGATCTTGGTTGTCGTACTCCTGGCTACAGCTGAACTAAACCTGTGATTGTGCCAGGTACTTGAATGTTTTGCGAACTGAATCGTTGCATCCTTATGAGACTTGCCCCATGACTGGCAAGACTGGCTTGCCTTTCTGTACAAGGGGCAGTTGCGACCGTGACGGAATTCAGGCCTTGGGCAACTACCTTTCGAGCTTGCTATGGCTGCCAGCCCAGCTGCAAATCCATGTGAAGTAAGGGTCGGGAATGGTCAGGATCATTTGGCGGCATAAAGCAACCAAAATTGAGCCAGTCGTGTGCTTCGAAACAAGCGTGCGAATTACCAAGGACGCTGGGTACCAGAGAAGGGCTATCATTGGGAGGCTCTGCCGCGGTCGGTTTTTGTAGCTGCGAGGTAAGGCATGGCCAAGCATGATGCAGCTTCCAATAATTTTCGTGAAACTTGCTGCCGGTACAGAAAGCCGCGGGGCGCTTTGCTGCAGTCTGTGGGAACTGTCTGGCAGACTTGCTGGCAGCCCCTTCGTGAAGCGAGGAAAGAGCTACATATGTAGAAAAAAAGTATTTAAATAAATAAGTAAATAGATAAACAAATATATATATATATATATATATACACACGTATATCTATCTGCACATATATATATATATATATATATGCATATGTGTGTGTGTGTGCATAGAAATACATACCTACCTACTTACGTACGTACGTATATACATGCATGCATACATTCGTGCCCCCCTCGTGGAGGTCTTTGTGCGCTTTCGAGTCTCTTTGACGGAGGCTGAAGAGGCACCGTGTTGCAGACAGGCTTTTGTCACGAGAAATGCTGCGGCACAGCGCTCTGGGATGGAACGCAACGTGACCCGCAGGCCTTTCATGAAGACGTATGGCAGGCGGGTTGCAAATAATTTGCCGCGAGAGTGCCCAGCAGCCCCTTCCAACAGGCAGTTTGGGGTCTCATACAGTCTGCCATTCTCTTGCTGGCGCAGGGTGCTCGGGAATAGTTTCGCATGCGACTTAGCAGAGGCAGTCCCTGTCGGTCCAGGCTGGTGTTTCCAATCATGTTTTTCGCTTGGTTGGTGGTTCTGGGCGCGAAGCCAAGCGACGCAGAGGCCTCGGTGAGCTTAAGTCTTGCTTGAGTGATGCAGGAGCGGAGCATGGAGACGACCGTTGCCCGAAGGCCCACTGTGCCCGCTGCACCGAATGTTCGAGTGGCCAGTGTGCTGAAGCTCCTTCTGCAGGACCTGGACGGGCTGATGACTTGGTTCGGGATGCTGGGCAGATACCTTGGACTTGGCTGTGCATGTGGTGTATGAGTGTCTGGCAATGCCATCCCTCATGAGAGGTCTTGCCCTGATTGTGGTTGGCTTTGTTGATGGCCGCCTGGCACAAGAAGATGTCGTCAAAGCGCGCCGCCCAGAGTCTGCAGTCAGATACGGGTATCACTGGAGAGTGCGAAGTCGAAGCGGGCAAGCATCACCCCAGCTGCATTCACAATTGCCGTCCGAGACATCTTACATCGGGCTGGCACTGTCGCTGGCAGTGCTCTCAGATATGTGATATCGCCTGGTATCCATGAATCATCGATTTGCTGCAGCTATGCAAGCACGGGAATCAGGTCTTGCTGGTTCTGCCCTGGGTTGGAGCATTCTGGACTTTCCACTTGGATAGCACGGTTCCGCACCCAGTCTGCTTCCAAGCCAACAGCCGGGAAAGGATTCAACATGCATGGGCCATAGGACCAGCAGACCTGCGGATTGTTCTTGACTGGAGCAAGTTCATTGCTTTGGATCTGATCTTAGCGGGAATTTCGCTGGTGCGGCCTTTGTGTGGGAACGGTGAGTTCGAATCTTGCTCCTCTTCAGGACTGTATGTCTCGTCTCCGAGTTGATACTCGGCTTGTTGCCAAGATGCTCTCGTCTCGTGACCTTCGCATAGCATCCTTTCGTGCGTCGGTTTGCACGAAGGCTTCGCATTTCTGTGGCATCTGGCGGTTTACCAGGAATATGAACTGCCTGCAGCTTATTGGGCTGATTGTGAGCCTGCTTCGAATGCTTTGGAACAACACTCCGAACTAAGGACTCTGCAGCAGGGCCACAGTCTTGCGGAATGCTTACGGGATGTGCGCAAGAGAATTGGTTTAGGATAAGCTCTGCATCGTTTGGCTAGAACTCTTTGTGCTTCCGGCCCGAGATGTTTCCAAGGAGCAGCGCCCTTCGGCCTTGGGCAATCGTTGCTGTACTCAGTTTGTCTAAATTTATGTCGTTGCTCGCCACGATCAATTTGTACCTCGCAGGCCAAGATGGTGCGTATGCCAGAGCCTCAGCCAAGAAGTGCATCATCGACAACTCTGCCCCTCAGCCACAGACGCACCCTGTACTTCAGGCCAGCCGTTCGTCAGAGCCGTGACAGCCATGAATCATGGCATTGGGACAGCTTGACAGTGACTTCCAGAGATGCGTCGCTAATTCGAGTGTTGACATTGCCGTTTGCATTCAATGCTGGTGTAGACGGCTCTTGATGAATGGGTGAGGTGAGCAGACCGACACAGGTTTTGGGGCCTATGTAGGTGAATTTGGGTGAGGCTTTTACAATTGTTGCAACTGCAGATCCAGGCAGAAGCTGGTGCGGGGTTGCTAGCTCTCGCAATGCGAGCTCGCTATGCTGCACATCCACCGGTCACAGAAAGACGTGTTCCCTCGAAGATTGGACGGCCCAGATTCGTTCTGTTCTGTTGCACTTGCTGTCGCAGCCGCCGATCCGCTGTTGCACTCAAGCTGTGTTTCCGTGCTGACTATTCAGCCATAGGGATGAGACATGGGAAATTTGACTTTAGCCTGTAGGGGTTCAAGATGGCACTCCTTGCCCGACACCTTCTCATAGATTGCAGTGGTGAGGTCCAAGGTTGAACTCCCACCGACTGATAGCAGCTGTATTTACAAGGGCCCTTGAAGCCAGGTGTGGTTCTGTTGTTGCACTTAGCTGCTGTAAAAGCTCGTGAATGCCCCACAGGAAAATGATGCCAAGATCTGGTGCGAAGTGGCTGTTCGCTGTGATATTCCTGCACCCAAGGCAAGCATGAAGTTTTCTGATGCGTCAGGTAGCCAAGTGTAAGTGTAGCCATGTTCTTGGAAGTGCTCAGGAGACTAGGCCTTTTCTGTGACGGCTTCACTTGTTGGCAGCTGAGCCTTCACCCGTGTTTGCCAGCGGAGCAGATGACACGATCCCGAATCCAAGGTCAGCATTGCCAGGTGAACGAAGGTTTTGGCGAGCTGTTGAAGCCGCAGGTCGCTGCGTGGGACCGCGATTCGATTGGGAAAGGCTTCATTCCTGGAGAGGAAGACATTGAACCCGGGCAAGCAGCGAGCAATGCGCCGATCTTGAAGCGTCTCTGGTGTCTTCAAAATGCCAGCAATCTCCTGGTTTCAGGTCCACATATTGTGGCCGACGCATGTCGAGGCATCCTGGAATCCTACACAAGCTAGCATGTAGTGGAAACAGCGGTCTTTGAGTCATCTGCCCGCGCAGGTGGTCCCGCTGACGGAAGACATAGGTCTCCGGCCCGATTTTGGTCGCGTTTGAATGGTCCTTGTGTGACTGCATGGCCGGGCAGGTGGTTGGCTACCCGCTTCATTTCATCAAAAGCTCGCCTCCGAAGCTGTCCGCGGATGGTGCTGGCGCTCAGTGTCGTCCAGCACAGAGGTGAGAAGGCCGCCCACGAGCATGCACCCTCGCGGTTCAGAACCGAACGAGCAACACGTGGCCAAGTGATTGTGCTAATCAGCATGCGCACACGACCCACGAAGCACGCAAGCATCAGTGCCAACAGCCATTGTGATATTTCTAAAATCTTGAGGTTTCTGCAGTTGCCTGATATGAACAAATGCATATGACCCGTGACATCATGTTTTCCGCAGAGTTGGGCCATGAATTCAACGGCGAACTGTCTGTGGTTGCAACAAGGCCTCGGCAGGTACACATGCTACATGCTTGCTTCAGCTACGCTGCTTTGTTGTGCGATTCTTTGTTCAGAGGCGACTGCTGCGCGAGCAAGCTGATCTCAACAGGGATGGGCTGGAAATGCAGGTGACCGTCAGAGATGCGCCATGTCACCATGCAAGAGAAGCAACAGCTCGAAGATGTTCGAAGTTGCGCAGGGGATATTCCACCATTTCGACGATGTGCATCCGCACAAGGCGTTCCGTGTTCCGGTTTCTGGTGCTTTGGTGTATTGGCATTTCCTCTCACTCAGACTGAGGCTGTGGCGATTATCATCGGCCCAGACGGATCGCCCTATGCACGTGCACCGTATCTGTTTCGATTTGTGTTCCCGTGGCTCGGCGAAGAGTCAGCGTCCCACCTGTAGGCCAGTTGTAGGTCAAGCAACCTGCGCCGAGGAACACGTATCCATTAAAGCCTCCGTGTGCCACATTCTGCACAGGAGTATTGCGCTGAGCTGTGGAATGATGTGTAGTGCTGCTTTCCAAAATGGGCCGGCTGCCGAGGACGGGCGCGTCCGCTTCAATCCGAACTTGTATACAAATGGCAAGGCTAGGCTGGTCTCTGGACTTAGCAACGCAGCACTGTATGCACAACTTGCAAACATGACGGGGTCGTTTCACAGGTTTGCCTTTCCATTCTGGGCACCTGGGCGGGCCCGTCCTGGACCTCTCTAAGCACCTTTCGTTCTGTCTTGTTCTTCACCCGAGTTAGTGCGGAATGTTGTGTTGATGTCTTCGAAGCTATGCCGATGACGTGCGTGAACCTAAGGCTATCGATACAAAGTCTTTTATCTCTCAATCCTCTTCAGAATGAGCCGGGGCATGAGCACGAGACCGGGCGTGATTGCGACCTTTATTCAGCATCTCTGCTTTGGCATTGGTGCATTGTTTGTAATGTTTGTCACGCATGTTGATCAGATGCGTTTTCGATCATTTGTGTAGAAGCCGTTTTGTTGGTATCAACCCTGAGACACAGAGTGGTCCAATGAGCAATGAGCGCAAGACATCCAATTTGCGCAGTGGGTAGTTTCATCTAGAACTCATGATATCTTGTGCCACAAGCGATGACTCCACATTGCTGGCCCGTCTCAGGCAATGCTCCGCTATGAAAGTTTGGCGGTTGCAGCATTGCAGCTGACAAAGCCATTGGACTCGTGTTTCGAGCCCATGCGAGTCAGCATCTCAGTAGACTGGGACTGGATACGGCCGCTGGTGACCTGGTGCGTTCTAGGAGCTGCTTGGCGCGATCTTCCTCTGCAATTTTCAAGCTACGAGGCTGCACCAAGTTCTGACTTGCCCAGTTCTTCCTCTTCCGACTGTGTTTCTCGTGTTCTCGAAATCACGCTGCTTCAATTACAAATTGCAGTTGTCAAGCTGGTGCTGCGCACGGTAAACGACTCGCGCCGCAGCTACGACAACTCCATATGACTACCACCAGAGATGCGATTGCTGCTATGGCTTTACCTGAGCATGTGGCCATGGTGGTGCTTGCATAGCCAGCACAAACCGAAGTGAATGCTGCGAGATCATAAGCGCAAGTTGTGAACACGGTTGTGGTAATCCGAAAACCAGAAGCTCACGGGATAAGCTGGAGTAGTCTGCGGCGGGGTAGGACGGGATATGGCCGCCGCATACACGGAACCCTCGCCCAACCTGTGTTCACTTGTGCTTGATCATGTCAGGTCGCAGCGGATCGTCTGTTCAGGTACAGCAGATTCTTGCAGCTTCATCTCCTGAAAGATCCCGCCCATCCTTGTCAGCCTGGTCCTGTGCTGAGTGCCGGACCGAAAGATGCTGTCGCGGCCAGTGCCCTCGCGAGAGGAAACAAGTTGACGCCCTCCGAGCAAGAAAAGATGCGGCGTCAGCTAGAAAAGGGCTATACAGCGGCGATCGTGACCACCGATACCTTGCCCGCCCCCAGCTACCTCGAGGCGATCCAGCAGCAGTCCTCGGATAAGTGTTGGGGGTGGACATCCTGGTGCCGGATATGAAGTGAAAAGCAGCTGCTGGAAGAGAATGCCCGAAAAAGCCGCAGCAGTTCTGCCGACTGTCCCCCAGAGAATTGGAATCTTGAGATATCCGGCGCCGTAGTACGAGTGCAGGTGGGGGCTTGTCACCTTCACAGCTGGATCCTGTATATCAAGAAGTTTTTACATTTCTATGCGTGCAAACCGGCAGAGTGCTCCTGCCGCGACGGTGCAGGAAGCCGAGATGGCTGATAGAACCGTGCTCGAGGAGGTCTTCCAGTTGTGTTTTGCTGGCCACAAGCTCGATGATGATGCCTTGTCTCACGTGGCGGTGGTTCGGGACATGCTTCGGTACGTGCTGGTAAAACGTCCCATGGTGGTGAAGCTGGACAGGATAAGCACGCTCCACTCCCGCCTCTCCCTCGCAGGCCAGAGACCAAGCGTAAGCCTTCAGAGCCCGGTGCTCGTGTGAACTCCAGAACGATGCGCAACAGGGAATGCTAGCTTTTGGTAAAGTGTTCCAACCGGTCCTGGTGCTTCAAGCATGAGTGCCGTCTGCGTTGGCAAGTCGCATCATGCGGCAGTGTGCTTGCACCAAGGTTTGTGAGCCACATTTCAGCCAGATGCAGCCACGCCGGAACGGGTCTGATTATCGGTGTGGGCAGATTGAAGACTGTGTGTTTCGGCAGATCCAGCCGTCTGAAAGCAGGTGCTGCCTGAAAGCAGGTGTAGCACAGTAATGTCTCTGGTCGGACGCTGACTGGATGTGTCCGCGTGTTGCGATTAGTGGGACATTCTTGGCTGAAACGAATTTCTACGTGAGAGCTTGATTCCACGTCTGCTGGCCCGCGTGACCGAAGCTGCGTCGTCCCCTTTCTAGCGTGACGATCAGGTCCAGCTTCTTCGGCAGGACTTGGTACCCTTCCTGAGACAAAAAGGGTGGCGGTGCACTGCTGGTGTTGTAGCCGGTCAGCCCTTGACCCGTAGCTGGGCTATCTGCAAGATTATGATACAACTCTTCCTGAAACACTCACTGAGGGTGTACGCACTGGCATTCATTCGGACATCCCGCCGTTGGGCGTCTGGCGCCCCTGCAGTGCTCATCTGCTTCGGATGATCCCGCGTCCCTTATGCGTCTGGTTCAGGCAGACATCGATGCGGGCTTTGCAGAATGGCTGCCAGTGGGGAGGCGAAGGCACGGTTTGGTAACAAGTGTGCAGCTGGTAAAGAAAAAAGGTTCTGAACCGCGACTGGTGGGCGATAGCAATATTTCTCACGCAAGCATCATGGAGAAGGTGGAGCTCCCCTCTCTGTTTGATGTGTTGGAGTTTTTGCACCGGCATCAGTGGATTGTCTTTTCATCGGATGTGGCCAAAGCGCACAAGCGATCAAGATCCTCCCGGAAGCGCGAGGGTACTCCATCTTTGTTGCTGTCGATCAACACGGCCGAAAGCACTGGTTTGTATATGATACTGCGCATTTTGGAGCATCGTGGGCTGGCTATCGGTGGGCCCGAGCAGCTGCGGCGTTTGTGCGTTGTGCGCAAGTCCCCACTCATGTCAGCCGCTTCTTCGTCATCTTTGTGGATGATCTATTAGTTTTTCTCATGACATGAAGTGCCTCTTCTAGCATGCCCGTGCGTTATGTTGGCAGTGGCTATGGGAATCCCTGTTTCATGGCGCAAGTTGAAGCTTGCGGATTAGTTGCGATGGCTGGGGTGGGAGATCTGCCTGACTAGGCGTCCTGTTGCTGTCTTGCATGACGATAGGCTGCGTTACAGCCTCTGCGTGTGCCGGGGCCGGCGTCAATCGAAGGGAGCTCCGACTGCTTGTTGGACTTCTATGCTGGCTCACTGCTGGCCTTCGTTGGTTGCGGGCCTGGTTGGCTATGTGGGTTCACGTGCTGGCCAAACCTAAGATGCGGCTACAGTGTTTGGACAGCGAGCAGATGGAGGAAATCACTATTGTGGTAGATGAGGCCATGTATGTTGTGTGCCCGTGCGTCAAATTCGATGTCCAGGTTGGCTGGCGGGTACTTGAGTTCAGTCACTGTGGAGAGCAGGCGTGATTTGCTGACCGCGCGAAATGCGCAACCGAAGGATTTGGACCAAGTTCTCGGATGCCGGATGCCTTGGAGTCCGGACTCGTGGTGCTAAATACGGAGGAGGTGTTGCCTCGTTCTTTTTCTGAGTTTGTGGAAGCGAACGTGCGAACGTGCCTGTCCAGTTAGCGACCAAGGCTGGCATTTTGGGTGCTGCTGCCACAGATGCATTCGCCGAAGGCGACCGTGCAAGATAAAGTGGATGGTGGCTAACTCCGGGTGCTACATTGCATCCACGGAATCTCCTGTACTTTTCCATACTGGTTCAGCGGTGCGATTTGCCGGTTTGGTTCCTCAAATCATTGGACAGAGTGCATCCTGAACTTCGATCGTTGGTTGCCGCGTTCGAAGCATTGGCCCAATTTATTCTATTGGAATGCTGTGTGAGAATCTAGAAGGGTTGTCGGGGCAAGCGCCAGGGCTTGTCCCTCAGGGAGCCGTGGGCTTCAGTGCTGCAGTCAGCAGGGCTATTCTGCAGAGAGCCAATGGCGCGTGTGTGGATTCAGGTTGCCCATCTGAGGGCTTTGGACGCAGATTTTTTGACAGGGGCGGACGGGGCAGCATGTGCTCCCCCTTCCTCAACAGCGGAAGAATCTGCAGCCAAAATTTGCAGACAAAATTATCCGCCCATGCCTCGTGCACTACAGGTAAGGTGGGGGTTGGGTAGTCTGCGGCGGGGTAGGATGGGATATGGCCGCCACATACACGGAACCCTCACGCCCAACCTGCGTGCACTTGTGCTTGTACATGTCAGGTCGCAGCAGTTCGTGTGTTCAGATATTGCAGATTCTCGCAGTTTCATCTGCTGAAAAGTCCCGCTCGCCCTCCCCAGATGCAGTAGGTGACGGTGCATGGATGTCTGGTGGATGCCAGCGTTATAATTGCATATCGGTTGCGGCCCAAGGGCCCGGCTGTGGGCTCACCGCTTCGGGCGTGCTTAATGTTTTCGTCGAAGAGGTGCAGGCTTGTAATTCTTCCATCGAAGCATGTTCCGTTCCGAGTCGAGACTAGTTCCAGCAAAGCAACGCCATTCAAGTCAAGCTGCTTGTTCACAAGGGCAGTCCACTTAACATGCACATGTGGCCAAATGTAATAAGTGAGTGTGTGCTGCTGACTACCATGCGAATGCGCACACCGAGTTGTAGATGGGCGCGGTCCGAGGTATGCGAAGCATAGCACCATAGATATTGAATCAAGGCATGCCAAATTCCAAGCCTAGGTATTTCTCCCCGCTGCCGCTAAACTGCCTTATGCCGGTTTGCTTTTCCAAGGCTTATACACTCTCGTTGGGTGAATTTGCAGCCTGTGAAGGTTGCCTGGACAGGCACTCGAGCGATTGTTGAAAGTTGTGCGAAAAGCATTCGGATTGGTTTCTGTGAGGTGCCCCGTGTACGGCTTCATTTCAAAGTACAGTCCAAGTTGGGTTCGCCAGCAGCTTGAAGAACTGCAGGCCATTCGGATTTGGAGTCACAGTTCTGGAGTCTTCCGAGCGCCCAGAGAGGCGGAGTTGCTGCTACGGCCAGAAGCAGTGGCTGTGGCTGAGGAGCTGCGCAAGCAGGCTCGCATATCCCTGGAATTAGAAGCGGTGATTAAGCGCCCCCTTGAGTAGGATGCCATCGTTCCAGGCGCTACCATCGTGCTCAGAAGAAGCAGCCTGTGCCAGAAGCTCTGACGACAACGGACAAAGTGCCGGAAGCCATGAAGGAGTCCCCGAAGGAGCACGCACTCATGTAGCTCGAGGCGCTGCTAAGTAGCAGCTGTTTGTGCATCCATTTGCACATTCTGCGAAAATAGTGCCCGGCTTGCAGTAGGAGAGGAGAACGCATAGACGCCTGAAAAGCCACGTGTCGCTCGAGGTGTGTGGCGGATGGCCGGGCCAAGTGTCTATCAATTCTTGCGACGGCTATGCTTGGTCATGGTGTTGATACTGGTAGCACTTGGCATCGGTCTTGCAGTCGCCTTCTTGCTTGGTGCAGAGTTTTGGTTGCATAAAGAGCATCACATGAAGCCCCATTTCTTGATATCTCTCATATGTGTCGCCACATTGGACACGGCTCGCGATGGCTCAGGTCGCATCCCGTGCGCACGGACAGGGAGCTTCCCAGATCCGATTTCGCACGCTGAATGCGAGCATTGGGCAGCAAAAAACGGAGCCTGCTGCATCCTTCGAGCAAGCATCCAGGGACAGCTGGCACGAACACCTTTCTTTTCTCAGGCAAACTTTCCGTGACAAAATTGGCCCGGGTCTTCCACGAAACCACGAGTTGTACAGGCAGCGCAGCTGCTCCTGTGGGTCTTGCACGCTGCCAGTGTTACCCTTGGCAGGCAGTTGAACCAAAAGCATGCTGGTGCCTTGAACGACGCGTTCTTTCACTACCAGCCCCTTGGCAAGACTTGGCTGGGCGAAGATGCGAGCTCCTGCGCAATTACCCGCCCTGCTCCGAAGGAAGAGGCTCTTTGAGGCCGGCCGATGAAAACTCCTTCGGAGCCAACAGCTGACAGCAAACACCTGTGCTGAAGTTGGATGTTGTAGTCTTTGCTATCGGCAGGCAGAAGGTGATTTCGATCGTGCACGTGCCTCAAATGTTTGCCTTGTGAAAGGTTTGCAGACAGAAACTTACTGCCAGAGTGCCGGCTTAGTTGGGAGGCCATGTCACCTGATTTTGAGCTCGCATCCCGGAATCGTGGGCTTTTGGGTGCCCAAGGTTGCAGCGTTCCTAGCATGTTACCACTAAGGACCAGCACTCCTCCACCTGATGCAAACTCCAGCTGGCCGGACATGACGCTCAGCGTAAATGGTTTCCGGAGAGAAAGTTGTTCAGGATGCAGAGCTGGCAAGGGTTGCATCTTTTTCCGCAGAGTGTCCTACCTCCACCAGTAAACGATGGTGTTTTTCGTGAGTTGGCGAGCCATTTGAGGAATGCCCTGCCTGAGTACAACAAGCAGCAGCCCAAGCGAGTCGATAGCATTTTGCACAGCAGTCATGCACCGCAAATGTGTTCGGGCGAGCATGTCCCTCGACACGGTTGCGGGTCGGTCTTAAAGTGTCTTTGGCAGCGCAGGGCCCATGCACAGGACCCCCCAAGGACTGTAGAACTCCAGAGATGCTCGCCCTGGCGTTGGATCCTGAAGTGGCATCCACTCTGAAGCAATATCCCTCCTTTCAATTTAACAGTGCAGATAGAGCACTTCCCAGTGTCCCAGTCATGAACGGGCCAAGAAGCGCTTTTCTGATGCGCTGTGCCGTTACGAAAAACCCAGACAGTGACGCGATTACGAACCGCCTCTAGTTTGTTCACCTGAAGATGAGAGCATCTCCATGATGTAGGAGAAACACGTCAGCAGTTGCATGGAAGGCTGCGCAAGGTCGTGGAACGTCTCAGCAGGAGGCGGGTGTTGCATGTTTCTGTCTGCCATGTTGCTCCAAGTAGTGGTAGGCTACTGTTGTGCGCACTATCAATGGCTGCACAGCTTGCTCGCATCCCATGAACCATGATGAACCATGTTTTTACAGGGCCGATATTCGTGCGCACGGGCTGCTGCCTTCAGGATTTTACTGAGTCCGTCGACTGTCGTGATGAGACAGCGTTAATCAAACAGGCACCCCGTCCGACAAGGTCGCAGGCAGCTTGCCAAGACCATGAAGGGATACGTAGGCAGATGCTAAATACACGTAGCATCAGGGACGCATATTCCAATGTGATTTCCCATGGGTCGCAAGCACCCAGCGGTAAGCACAAGGTGTTCCAGAATCCTTGTGAGCCATTGCGCGGCGATCTCCTACCTGTCTTATTCCATGATACTATGTGCGTGGCCGACGCAGTTTTTCAGTTTTTCAAGGCAGATGAAGGCCATGCCTTGCCAGCCTAGCCAGATAGTTCATGCATGTCACTGCATGTTACTATGTCAGATCCACACCCGCCCGTGTCGCAAAGACCCACTTCTTTTAGGGCATTTTGTGCTGAGAGCTTCGGGCTGCATGACTCGGCCGACCTACGCCGAGTGACAGCTGCGACAATGGAGCTTCCTGAGGAAAGTGGATTGAAGTCCTGTTGGAATGGCCAGCTCGAGTGATTGTCTGTCACCTGACTTTGACCTTCCTGATATGACGTCGCAGGAACTTTCAAAATAAATGCAAGCACGCGCTCCAGAACTGGAGAGCAACAGCCGCCTGGCGAAGTGCTAGCTGCTATGCTGGCGCTGCGAGCCTGCCCACTTACCCCAGCTGCCATAGGCAGTATCAGTACAAGCAGGAGTGCTCTCTTGCTGCATCTTTGCAGGTATCACTTTTGCAGCTCAGCTGGACAGCTACAGTCGTCGTTGCTTTCATGTGCACAAAGCAGTTACAGCATGACGACGGATGCCGATTTTGGCCAGTCTCAGCCAGAAGATCTGAGGATAGAAGTGCCCTCCCCAAGGAGGGACTTGAGTCGTCGAGTGCAAGCGACGCTGGGGCCCCTTCAATCTGCGCGCAAGACAGGGCAGAGTGGCGCCACTGACAGGATGAAGACGCTGATGGCGTTGATGACCCACTTGCCAGACTTGCCGTGGACCCCGACCTGTCGACACAAGCACGCCGGCGGAGTTCCACGTGACCTTACTGAAAATTGCATGCTTTTATACGCACAGTAGTGTGTACCGATGTTTTGGTTGCAGGAACATGTCAGCCCCTTGTAGTTCCGAGAGATTGTTGGGCTGTTTCTTGTACCGAGGGGGCACCTCAACTTCGTTGACCAGGCAAGCTGCTGGCAAACACCAATTGCAGCTGAGGGGCTGAGTCCCATAGATAGAAGTGGCTCCCAGCATGCACAATAATAGGCAGCTTGTCTGCGTATTCTGTAGTTCGAATCCCATTTATCCACTTTCTTGTTGCTGCGATTAGGGCGCCCTGCTTCCCTGGCTTTAAGGCTTTAGATTTTGGAGCGGTTTTTGTTTATTGGCTTTCTGGCTTCTTGGTTTCTATTCGGTGCCATCCCTCGTAGCCGTAGCCATGAAAATCACAATCCCCTATGACATTTCTTTTATGGTGGTGTCGGAATCATGAATGTCGTTCATGTAGCTTGTCCTTGTGCGGTCCATTTGGCCATGCGGCCACTCCCTACGCTACTGCCAGGATTCTCAATGGAATGAAAAACTTCTCTGGCTGGGTATTGATTTTGACGCAGTGTTTTTTTGTCCTTATGCTCGTGTTTTCGTGCTCCCCCAGCCATCCCGCTTCTACGGTTTCAGGCGCTATGCGAATAGGTCAACACCCGGTGCTTGGGGTGGGAGCCTCCGCTCACACCGCAAGGGTGTGTCGGAGGTGCGCCACTGTGGGGCGAGCACAGCTAAACGCGGAGCGCAGGATCGCACAGCAATGTCTGATGCCCCGGACCTCAGTCGATCCGCTCGCGGAACCGGAAGGGGAGGAAGAAGCAGAAGGTTTTTCTTTTCATGCGGCTGGGCGGCTGGGTTCTCTTCTTCAGGCACATCTGGCTTTTCCTTATGCTCACCCGGGTTTTTCTTCATGGGCACCTAGTTTTTCCTTATGCGAACCTGGCTTTTGCTTATATGGCCCCATGCCCTTCCCTCCCTTCCTGACGGAATGGGTGTCGTTTTTGTTTTCTGTTGCTGCTCTTTCGTGGTTGTGCTCCGCAGACGAAGCCCCGCCAAGCGAGCAAGTGCGTGAGTGACCCCGCACACACACACGCACACACACACACACGCACACACACGCACACACACGCACACACACGCACACACACGCACACACACGCACACACACGCACACACACGCACACACTTGCAATGCAGGTCTGTGCCGGCTGTTGCTTTCTTCGTCCTTCTCTTTTCTCGCATCATACACAACTTTGTTTTTTTTTACTTTGCTAACTAATTGGTTTATTGAATACCTCCTGGGATCTTTTGGAACTTCACAGCTCGCACGATGGACCTAGCTTACTGCATCAACAGAAATAGATCGAAGTGTATTAAGGTCTCGAGGCTCAGCTAGAAGAATCTGTAGCTCAAAGGTCACGGACGTGAAACTTATCGCAGGTACACACGGTTGATCAGACCGTG